TAACAGTATCTTTATACTGTCAGTGTTTGACTGTGATTTTAAGAGATGCAGATGTAAAAGCCTGCATCTACATCAACTCCAAACTCTTTTTGTGAATTGGAAAAAGGCTACCAACAGTTGCAACCACTTTGCACTGACACAGATGATTTCCATTTTGCAGTTATTGAAATACAATTATGCAGAAAATGGTTTGGGCCATGGGATTTCTATTGAAAGAATGTATATAGAGGGATACATTAAGACAAATGTAAGAAATTTGGTAAAAGCTGAAGCTTACCAGCAGGTCTTTTCAGGAGACCCATGGGAAATGTCAGGAAATCTGCCAGGAAATGTCAGGGCCATCTAATGCCTTCAGTAAATGACCAATTCATACAATAATTCCATTGAGGACACATTACAAATGTTCACAACAAAAAATAGATACTTGTGGGACAGGTGAGCCAGCTTGATGCTTGAAATGCTAAACTGGGACCTTACTGGCAAGGAGATGCCTTAAGGATAGGCCTTCTGGCCCAGTGCGTGAAATACCAGGCTCTATGTATGTGTGTTACCTACCAGGTGTATGTATGGGCAAGTATGCCAGCCTGCAGCTTAACACACCAGGCTGAGGTGCTTAGTCCTTATTCTCCCAAATATGCTTGGAGATAACTGCATGAAACATCTACTCTGCTTAGAACAGGACCTCAAGAAACAACTTCACTTTTAGATTACATCAAGCCCAAACTCTCTTTAGAAGCTAAAATGACCAAACTGAAGCTATTGTACTTTGGTGAAATTATGAGAACAGTTGCTGGAAAAGACAATGCTAGGAAAAATTGGAAGGCAACAGGAGAAGAGGAAGATCCAACACAAGATGGCTTGATCCAATAAAGGAAACCTGGACCCTCAGTTTGCAAGACCTGAGCAAGGTTGTTAATGATAGGACATTTTGGAGGTCATTAATTCATAGGGTCCTCATAAGTTGGAAGCGACTTGATGGCACTAACACAGAACACCTTACCTGTGGATATCTGGGACTGGTCCTAACCTTACCTGTTTTTTTGAGTCCTTCATATAAGCATCCCCTGAAGGAAAAGGGCTAAATTGAAGGGGCTGCTTTTCTGCCTCACTTTCGACATTGTGCCGTCCCCTTCCTTGCTATACAAAGGCTGAGTGGAGAACTTCTGAATTTCCCTGTTCTCCTCCCAAATAATTTGGCCCTCCATGAAGTAATGCTGCAACTGATTGCCTTGTAGAAAGGGGCAGGTTGGACACAATATGAAGTTATAAGATACCCAGATTTTTTTTGTAAACTTAATTGAATTTATATCACTTAAATAAGGACCATCCTGTGAAGCCAGTGATTTATGAAGACTGTGCCCATACTTCAGTCCAACAAAGCACACATTAAAATTCTCCCATATTATATAAAGGGAAAAATATGTTGCATATTTAAAACACATAAGCCACAAATCCAATGAGACCCATTAGGCATGTGGAAGGCTTGCGTATGCCCAGCAGAACTTTCAACTTTTTCCCTTGACAATGATTCCCCAGTGGTATATTTTAAAAGTTCCTCCGTCTTGGGAAAAATGTGTAATATCATGTTGAAAAACTGCTATTATATACACACACATATACATACCCCCCCCACACACCCTCTTGTCTGTATAAAACAGGTTGTGCGTTTTTACAGATGCACCCATAACTGCCAGTGTTTAGCATACTACACTGGGGACTTTCTGTGGAACTGCAGACAAAAATATGATGGATTCTGAAACCACATTGCTTTCAAAAAGCTGAATTTGTGCAGTTGATGAGAAAAACAGACTACCCATAGAGAACAACATACTGAATCCTTGCAGACTACTAAATTGTCCAGGGAGCTCAATGCGTGAAGGCTACAAATCTATTTAAACATTGCTGTCCTGCCCTTCCAACTGGAATGGGATTCCCAGAGTGATTTATAACAAAAGTACAAAATGATAAAAGAAATAATCCGGCATGAATGGCAGCATAAAAACCAGCCATCAGCCAAATCCAGCAACTTTCAGTAGCCAATCTCTCCTTATATATAATTGAATAGTGGGTGCCAAAGTTCTAATTCTAAAATGCACTCCCTTAGTGTATGGCTGATGGCACTGCTCCTCAGCATATATCGCCACCAATCAGAAGGCAAAGCCCGGGTCCCGCCCACACCACAACTGCTGCGACAACCTGGTCTTTTGCATATGGAAGCTGATTGGACTTCACTCCATTCCACACCTCAAACTCCCCCCCCCACAAGGCAGTTGGAATGTCAGTTGCATATGGAACCTTCAAGGTCTTTTGCATATGGAAGCTGATTGGACTTCACTGCATTCCACACCTCAAACTCACCCCCCTCCCCGCAAGGCAGTTGGAATGTCAGTTGCATATGGAACCTTCAAGGTCTTTTGCATATGGAAGCTGATTGGACTTCACTGCATTCCACACCTCAAACTCACCCCCCTCCCCGCAAGGCAGTTGGAATGTCAGTTGCATATGGAACCTTCAAGGTCTTTTGCAATAAAACCTCTTTAGATTCCATGATCTCTCTTTAAAAGGTTTGTTTTCAGCAGGTACTGAAACAATGGTAAGACTGCCTTTGGTAGGACACTCAAAAATTGTCGTGATGTTGTACAGACTTTCAAAATGTCCAACAGCCAAATATCCCCACAGGAGAAGTAAAACTTGGTGCTTCGACAGCAGGTTGACACATTACATGTCAAGACTTGTAACAAAACTCCCAAAGCTACTTTTAAGAGACTGTTGTGTTTTAGAAGGTACAACCAATAGCAGGAGAAAGAACTTAACTGATCTCCCACACAGCACTTCCCCTCTGCAGCTTCATACTTCCAAACCTGTTTATATCCCAATTATGTGGCATTCCAGATTCATCTAGAACTCCATCTGCAGAAAGGTGTAGAGGGAGGGTTCCAAACGGCAAAACAGAAGTCAGGAAAAGGGCTAAACAGTCCTTTTCTTTCTTCTCCGGTGCACAGATCCTCCTCCTGAAGCTGCATTTCTATAAAAGTAACAGCCACTAGGACATCTTCTGAGACACACTGGGCATTTTCTGACCCTGAGGAACAAAATGCGAGGGGTTTCAATGTCTTACAGCAGGAGGGGGAAGCAGGAAAGTCCTGCTTCACAAAGCATGCAGGTAGTTGACTATATTCCACTGGAGTGTAATACTCCTGTTTACTAAGGTCTTAGTCAGATCCTCCCCTTTGTTGGTGACCAAGACACACGACCTATTCAGTTGCAGCACCCCAATTGTGGAATGCCTTCCCCTTGCTCTTTGCTTGGCATTTCCAACAACAAATGAGGATGAATTTGTTCACCTAGGCTTTTTGTTAAAATATTCTGCTTGTTTATTGTTCAGGTACTTTGTTGTTGTTGTTCAGTTGCACAGTCGAGTCCGACTCTCTGCGACCCCATAGACCAGATCACGCCAGGCCTTCCTGTCTTATTTTCCATTAGTTAATTCTGTTCTGTTACTCCATTCATTTTATTTTTATTGTTCTATGGTCTTATATGGATTTACTTTTATTTTGGTTTAACTTGATTTTAGTGTGCTTTTTCAATGCTGCTTTCAGATAATTTCTACTGTGCCTTTTGGGGTGGTAGTTATATCAAGAACCTTTGGGCTGACAAGCAAGATAAAATGTTTCAAAACAAATAACCTCGACCCTCTATCAGTCTTCTCATAGACTTTACTGGAGATGAACTTTCTGATTTCCCATCAAATTAAATTCACAATGAATGAGAATACAATTAAGCGCCCTTCCCACATACTGAACAATGGATTTGCAATATTACAGTGCAAATAGGTAGCCTCACAGCCAAGTCAACTGTTGTACTTTTGTGACCTCTGCTGGATAATCAAAGGAAGCACAGAGTCACTGACATTGCATAGGATAGATTAATCTTCATGGCCGACTTGGAGCAATGCTTCCTAAACTCCCACCCACTCACATCACTCTTGTACTTGAGATACATTGATGACATTTTTATTGTCTGGACACATGGTAAAGAAGCCTTGGACATATTCCACCGGTCATTCAACAACTTTCACCCCACCATCAACCTGACAATGAATGAATCTATGCAAGAAATACACTTTCTGGACACTACTGTTAGAATACACAATGGACGCATAGACACCACCTTACACTGGAAACCTACTGACCAACAAACATACCTACATGCCTCCAGCTACTATCTTAAACATACAAAATGATCCATTGTATGTATACAGCCAGGCTCTATGCTACAGCCACATCTCCTCCAATCCCACAGACAGAGATTCTTACTTGAGGGATCTACAACAAACCCTTTTGGAACTGAAGTATCCACCTGATGAAATCAATAAACAAAGCCAGGACAGGCTCATTTAATTCTTATCTCATTATACACGCCAAGTCATTCTGTTCTTACTTATACCTAGAAATTAAACTTTGTTGGTCTTATAGAGGCCACTGGACACAAACTTGGTTCTCATATCTGTTGTTAATTCCTTTATTATCTGTATGCCAACTTGCTGCTATTTACATGTCTTACCAAATGTGTTATTCCAGTCTTAGCTATATTTATTGCTCAGTTACTTACGCATCGTGACTCTAATTCACTCTTCCTGGCAACTAACCCCCCCACCTGCATGTAATATTTGAGGAAATCTGTTTCAATGTATGTGAAGAAGTATGTCCATGCTGGGTCTCTGTTCTCGCTTGTACACAGGGATGAGTTTGGTTTTTCTTGGGGGTGCTGCTGGACTCCCATTTCATTCTCACATCTGTTAACTCTTGCATTTACGTGCTAATTTGCTGCCATCCATTGATCCTACCACCTATTCCAATCTCAGCTCTGCATATACATCTGGGCTCTGAGTGGGCTCTCCTAATGGCTTACCCCCCCCCCTTTTTCCTGTAACTAGCTTTTGAGATTTTATTCCAGTTTTGCCTGTAGAAGTGTGTTTTGCACACGAAAGTTTACACTTTAAATAAAACTTTGTTGGTCTCAAGGGTGCCACTTGACTCAAAATTTGTTCTATTGCATAGGATAGTTACTCAGCACCCCCTACCTCATTATAAGGGCTTCATCTGATTGAAAACATTTCTTTACTATTATTTATTGCTCAAAGAACAACAGGCGAGCTAACAGAGACATGATTTTTTTAGTCTGGTGCCTTCTTGGTCATGGCACCAAAGCTCTGGAACTCTCTCCCCAGGGAAACTTGACTGTCCCCTTCTGTTGCCGTCTTCCACCAGGGAGTGAGGCCTTTATTTCCTCTGGCATTCCCTCAATGATCCCTCCTTCTTTGTATGTATTTTAACTCTCTTTTTAAACTCTTTTAAACATTGTTTTAAAGAGGTATGTTTTGGAGGGGGGGGTTAACTTTAATGGTTTTCTAAGGTAATTTTATCACACACGTTTTAAATTGTTAGCCAACTTGGTGGCCTTTGCAAGGGCAGAAAGGTGGGATATAAAGTTTGTAAATAAACAAACCTGGCAGTAGGCCCACTCAAATAACTAAAGAATTGCCAATTTCATTTGCACAAAGAATGGACCTGCAGGGCTCAGCTGTTAGATTGACCCTTCTTTTCCAGGATTTATAAGGCTTTGGGCACTGCAGTCCCCCCTATTACTCTGGCTTCAATCCACTGAGCATTTCTGTGGCCCGAAGGGTTTTTGCCCACAGAGCACAACTCTCTCACCTCTCCCACTCCAGCCCAAAATGTCCTCGAAATGCAGTTTCTGGGGGACCGAGGATCCCCAAGAAAAGCATTTCCAGCTACATTCAGAGAGGGGAAAAAATCATACTCCATGGACAGAAATCCTTCAATCTGCCGAGATGTCCTGGTGGCTCTAATCAACCCTCTTTTTCACTTCAGACACAGATTACAAAGTTTAGGCGAAATGGGTCCCTAAGCAAATGCAGCGTTGTTGCTGTGATATCGTTCTACCTTTTTGCTCCCAGGGGAAATATCCGAATGATAGCCATTCCTTCCAAAGGAAGACTGTTACATTCCAAATGGATGCAGGTCCACCACTGTCAGTTTCCAGCTGTAGATGGTAGACGATGGACTGTGCAGTGGGGAAATAAAACCAGTCTCAGTATAAGATGTTTATGAGCCTGCCAGCATGGAATTCCCACCCCTCTGGCTTTGACCTGTCCCATCTTCTTCTGCAGAACTTCTTTCTGTTCAGACACTAAGAAGGAAAAAGTGAGATGCTTAAAGATTCCCCCCCCCCAACAGATAAGGATCTTGGGTCAAAAACCTTGCCCACCTTACCTTGCCTTACAATATAAAAGGCCTCACAACCAAGTGCCAAATAGAGACAGACATTTACCATCTACATTTTGCTGATGTTTATTACTACAGTGATAAGATTTCATATTAATGGTTTCTATTGCATAACCTAATCCTGAGGCACCATTAAAAACATACAAACCCTGATATCTGGAAATCTATTTCTAGGAAATGTCAACGAACTGAAAGTTGTGTGGAGGTGTCAAGGCCAAAAGTTGGATCACTGACTCAGGAGCAAGAACTTTTCTTTCCATCTTAAGAGTGATGAAAAGTTGCCAGAAACATTTTCTAGAGAAACTATAATAGGAAGTATTACTGATAGACTAATTTCCTGTTGGAGGAATGTTCTCATGAAGATACTGCAATGCCAAGTCAGTCCATTTCATTTCTTGTTCTTTCACAGATTCTGTGGTGCCACCATTGTCTTGCTCTGGCTCAGGAAGCTCGTTCTGTGAATGGAACAAAAGCATTTTAAAACATAACACACAGAGAGAAATATTTAACACAGAGGAACGTGGGAACCAATAAATGTGAAAGCAAGAAAAACAGGTATGCTAGCTAAACATGCCACTCCAAACATGGCTATACATGCCCTGGAATAATTTGTTCTTAGATGTATGGTGATCTTTCATGTCTGAAAGCAGGGGCCAACTGAGGTTGCTTGGAGCAGAAAGGATACAGGGCAGGCTTATTGCTTCAAGCTTCCTTCACTCAGCCACTGACAGCCAGATGATGCATGGGGGCAGGGCGTCTGGGCTTGGAGCAAGAAGTATGTCTCCAAGGCTTTCCTCCCCAGGCCACTTTTTTGGTTCAATGGGCTACCTTGGTTTCAGCCAACAGCCAGATAACAAGCAGCCATGTGTAGCTTTGAGGAAAAAGTCTGCTTAACTGTTATTTGTCCTGGGACTCCAGGTGGGAGAGAAGAGACATGGCAGCCAAATCCACACACGTGGTCTGCCTTGGGCTCAATGCTTTTGGGAAGCAGCCCCCCCCCCACTTTCCCACAGCATTGGGGTGCATTTGTGAACTGCTATTTGCTTGAGGACACTCTAGCTCTGACTAAGATAGCCACAGAGGTGCTTTTTGGACCAGAATTGGAAGATGTTCTAACTCAGCAGCTGTGCATTTGGCAACAGACACATGACTCTCATCTTTAGAGGCCTCACAAACATCTCTGTCTTGTTGTGTCTATTGATCTTGCTGCTTAACTTTTCCTTTCTTGGTCCAGTATTAACTTATTGGTTATCTTATTGTAGTATGTAATATTGTAACGTGTACCTCCAACTGTTTGACGAAGAAGGCCCCCAACAGGGCGGAAACACGTCAGGTCATGTGTATTGGCCCTTGTGTTCAGCCCACTTGAACTTTTCAACGAGGCTTTCATTGGGCCCTTATTTGTTTTTAGCTGCCTTTCTAATGAATACATGTATTTTTATATATGTTTTAACTAGGTTTTTAATATTGGCCCTTTATTAGACTTCTTTCTTACCCTTGTGGTTCTTGATTCCAGTTTTTGGGTCAAGTTTGTTTTCCCCTACCCACCTCTTACTGCATTTGCGAACCTACCAGGATTTTGCCAGCTTTTCTCCAGTCTTTCTCAAACCTGGTTTGCTGTGATCTTCTAACAAAAATCCAGTAAAGTCCAAATGGTTGCCCCGTGGTTGGAAAAGTTCAGATTTTCCTGGCCACATAGTAGCCATTTTCCCTGACACTGCCCCCGCAACAGCCATTTCCTCCCCACCACCACAAGGGGTCCTTTGGGTCGTCTTAAAATCAGCAATTGAATATTGTTATGGCAATATGTGTAACAGGCTCTCTGAATTCCCAGCTTTCATTTTTAAAAGTATGTATTTAGTCTCTGCTTTTGTGGAGATTTAAGGGGAAAGGTATATCTCTGGAATGGAGGAAGGTAGAGACTTGTTATAAGGGTATATTAATATAACAATATTCAATTGCCAATGTTTTTTTAAAAATGAAAGTGCCCCAGTGGTCCAGGGAAGTAAGATGACTGCTGCAGGGGACTGGAGCAGAGAAACTGAGGGGAAACCTGTCATGTCACGCAGAAGCCCTGTTGCCACTGCAGTGTATTGGCAACTGCAGCAGCAACAGGGAAACCACAGAAGCCTGTACCTGTGTGGAAACCACATAGTGGAACTAGTGACTGCAGAAAAAAGATTCTGGGTTTCAATCCTTTTGCCAGCATTCCTTATTATACCAGATATTAAGCATAAGTGATCTCCTGATCTGGCCATCTTGAGTCTCACCTAAAGCCAGAAGTTTCAAGACCTGAACATACATAAGAAGAGCCATGTTGGATCAGACAACCAAGTACCTCTAGGAAATTTTACTTGCTTGTAGAAAGGGCTTGACTGCCTGAATTCTGGTCAGTAGAAAGCTTTAACTATATTTGTATATAGTTTAGAAATACATTTCTTATTTGTTATTTGACTGCTTTAAAGATAAGCTGATCAAATGGAAGATGCGGAAAATTTAAAGCTTATTAGTTGTTGTAGATTTTCTGAGCTGTATGGCCGTGGTTTTGGCATTGAAGTACCTGACATTTTTCTAGCAGCTGTGACTGGCATCCTCAAAGGTATAACACAGAAAAATGGAGTACTCTCTGTGTCAATGTGAGTTTCTGTGTTATACCTCTGAGGGTGCCAATCTGTCAGACCCCACAGCTGGCAATCAAGTACACGCTTGTAGAAAGGTTTTACTTTATTGAAGCCATGACGTACTGGAACATAGCCACTGTTCAGAATACAGAAATGGGCTGTGCAAGGTATAATAAAGCAAGTTCATAATTCTAGTAGCCAATAGATAAGATTCCCGCGCGAGCGGCTGGAGTGTCTTGCTCGCGCCAAAACCCTGAGAACCAACGTTCCCTCCAAAGATAAACAATTCTACTATTCCCACAGATGAGCGCATGTGAATCTGGTTAGACATGCGCAAGGGAGGCTGGAGGAGGAGGGGGTCCTAAGGTAACCACTACTTCTACTTCTATTAACCTTTGGCAGCTTGCTGACACAATCATAGCTGCTGGCGAAACGTTAGGTACTACAATGTCAAGACCACCACCATACAGTCCGGAAAATCTACAACTAATGAAGTCTGGCTGTAAAAGCCTTCAACAACATATTAATTTAAAGCTTCTTTGTCTTTTCAATTTTAGCAAGGGGGCAGGGAAAATAAAAGAGCATAAAAGAGAACCTAGTTAACTAATCTGACACCACACCATTTGCCGTCTGCCAAGGCCATCATTATTTTATTTATTTATTATCAAATTTGTACCCCGCCCTCCCCACAAAGCAGAATGGGCGGCTCCCATTCTGGAATGAACTACTGGCTATGTACTTTGCATATCTGCCCCAATAAGTCTAGAACTCCTTATATCTGTGAATGTCTGTTTTCTTTCTTAAACTGCTACAGTTGCAGAGTTTGGACTGTGACCAACAAATTGCCTCTAGGGCCTCACAAACAAGGCATGAAAACAATGGTCACTTCTGGTTTATCCCCGTGGTACCAACAAGTATGGTGCCTCTGTACAGAGAAGTCCTATTTTGTTGTAATAGCTATCAATCATTCATAGACTTGTCATACCAGAGGATTCAGTTTATAAAAATTATAAAAACCACCCAAAGTGATTCCAAAAAAGAACATCAACTTCCTATCACCATCTGATAAAGATGGCCCCTATGTCAACATTCAGGTTCAAAGATAACAAAGCATAGAACTACACCAAATAAGACCAAAAACCAGTAACCCTTTCTTTTGACTCTTTAAAATATTATGCCATAGTGAACAATGGGAAGTGGGGGGGAAAAGGATTTAAAGGTCGATGTCCATCCAAGAAGCAGATTAAAGAGTCCATGAAAGAGGTGAGATAAGAAAGCTGCATGCCACACCCATAAATTATCTATATGATTATACGTTTTCACTGCCACAAAGTCTCTATTGCTGTGTTGTGATTAATAGGTTCGTTTTATTTGGTTTTCAATACATTTACTTATGATTTTTATTCTGGTGAGACTTTTCAGGTCTAATTTTCAGGCCAGTTTGGTGTAGTGGTTAAGTGTGTGGACTCTAATCTGGGAGAACCGGGTTTGATTCCCCACTCCTCCACTTTCACCTGGCTGGATGACCTTGGGCAAGCCATAATTCTGATAAGAGCTGTTCTTGAAAAAGAGCAGTTTCTGTCAAGAGCTCTCTCAGCCCCACCTACCTCACAGGCTGTCTGTTGTGGGGAGGGGAAGGGAAAGGAGTTTGTAAGCCACTCTGAGACACCTTTGGGTTGTGAAGGGCGGGGTATAAATCCAATCTCTTCTTCCTCTAATGGCAGGATGAACATTTTTAATAAGTAAAAGAGAGTTAGAGGCAATACTCCAACTAAGCTGTGGAGTCTTGTGTGTGAAAATTCTACTTTGTATGCTACTGGCATTAAAGTTGTGAGTGAGCGATTTGGCTACTGCATAAATTAGTTTGCTCTGGAGCCATCCTTCCTGAGCTAAAACAAAAATGTGTGAGCTGGTGGCTAAAAAACTGTGAGCTAGCTCACACTAACTCAACTGGGAGGGAATACTGGTTAGAGGATTGACACAGCAAAACCAATCTAGATTAATACTTCATATGCTCACTTACCAGTGGTATTGCCACATCTTCATATGGTAATTTATCTTCCCTCCATGCATCATCAATCAAATCCAGTATTCTCCCATCTCTCTGCACCTCACTGTCCATCTCTGTACAATTTAGTAAGAGCTACATCTGTGATATAGAGAAAAAAATTTCCTATAATCTCATGCCCAGTTCTCATACACAAATATTTTTTAGAAAATCCCATGGCTCCACCCACAAACCTGGCTACCTCATGGCTCACCGCTACACATTTATGGATAAACTTATAAATAAAGGTAGCAGCATTGATCCCCATACAGATGCTTGAATTACTGTATTGCAAAATTCCCTGCATTGTTAGATCAGCTTACTTTTATGCAGGGCTTTTTTTCTGCGAGTATGCGCCAGAATGGAGTTCCGGAACCTCTTTGACAAAATACTTTTTAAAATGTTTAAAAGTTCGTGAGTTTTCAGTATACAGATTGAAAACTTTTCATTTTCCTCTTGAGAGTTCCAGCACCTCTTCTTCTTCTTCAAAAAGCCCTGCTTTTATGCTTCCTGTTGTTTAACAGTACAATCCTAGAAAGAGTTCACCCTTCTGAATTTGTTTGTCAGTAAGTTTAGAAGAGTGTAACTCTGTTTACGATTGAGCTGCGCTATTAATCCATAAGAACACCCGTTCACTTATTCCATGGCTTGTTGTGGAGCTTTCAATTTTTATTTATGTATATTATTTATACTCCACCTTTCTCACAGGGACTCACAGGTAGATTATACAGAGTGAATCAATAAAATCAATAAGTTGGGACATTCAATAAACAATGAAATAGGATTTGGGTTGCAGATCCAACCAGAAGTCTAAAATACAGAAGCAAAGCGTAAGTGTTAATGTGACACATTAAACAATGAAAAATTACAAAGTGGGAGCAAATGCACAGCAAACTATACACAATAGTAAGACTACAGTCCACAATAATTTATCCAAGTAACTTTGTGAAGTATTTGGTACAGTGCTACCCTACTGTCTGTGGAGAAAAGCCCTCTTGAATAATTCAGTTTTGCACAGTTTGCAGATTAATGGTGGGATTTGTGACTAAAAGCTTTGGGAAAGTACATAATACCTGCACACCATTCATGGAAATGCTTTGGATTGCCTAGAGGTCCAGCTAAAAATAGTTTTTCCTGGGATTTTAAATTGTTTTACTTTTTGCCCAGTATCTTGTATGTTGTAATCCGCTCTGAGCCCGCTTGCTGGGTAGGGACAGATAAAAACAAAAGCAAACAAACAAACAAACAAAAAACTAGGAGAAGGTACCACAGCTTCTGCATCCTAATTTTCATTATGAACATTTTACTGGAAGTTTAAAGAATGTTTTAAAAATAAGAAATTATTAAATCATACAGATTTGTTAATGTCAAGGTTTTTTTCTTCTTCTTTTTTTAGATTTGTTAATGTCAAGGTTGACCTTCCAAAAACTTCTATTACATTTAAATATTTGCTCATCTTTAACATTCTACTTTTATGCTTGCCAACCTCCAGGTGGCACCTGGAGATAGGGTTGCCAAGTCCGATTTACCTTGCCGGCGGGGGACTCCAGGGTGGCTCCTGGCGTGTGCACGTCACATGGAAGTGACGTCATGATGCTGGGCACGCTGGGGGCGGGGCCACGACCATACAAGGGAAAACCATAGTTTTCCCTTGTATGGTCGTGGCCCCGCCCCCAGCGTGCCCAGCATCATGACGTCACTTCCATGTGACGTGCACACGCCAGGAGCCACCCTGGAGTCCCCCGCCGGCAAGGTCTACTTTGGAGGGTCAACTCTATGGCATTATACCCTGTTCAGGTCCCTGCCCTCCCCAGGCTCCAAATCTCTAAGTATTTCCCAAGCCAGAGCTGGCAGAGTAACCCTACCTCTATTAAGAAGATATTGTAATAGCAATCACTATGTTTAACGAGTTAATGTTTAAGATTACTAAAACTGATAAAGACCACAGGTTTAGGGGTTTTTTTTTAATTAACAACATCAGATTCTTGTCTTTTATGAAGGATGAATAAAGATATTACCTCTCCACTCCCAATCTGGCCAAAAGAATTCAGAAACAAATTGCAGATGCGAAAACACGCTTCCACTTTACCCTTATTTCATCGTCGTGGCCAATTTTTCTTCCACAGCCTGACCTCTCGAGTGTAGCAAACAAGGCGGGACCGCTCTCCTCTTTTTACGCCGACTGACGACGAGCAGAGAGACCGACCGTCTGCTCAAGCGCCCACTTTTCACACGGCGCCACATTCGGCCATCAGCCGTTCCTCTTCTCCCACTCCAGCTCCTCCGGTTGCCGCCAGGGGACGATTATTCTGCACACACACACCCTCACCGCCGCCAGCCCCTCTAGCAAACGCAGGATCTGACGTCATAACCGGCTCGTCTAGGGGACGTAAACCATAGAGATGACCCTGAAGCGGGGGGGGGGGGAAAGGCGGATGGTTCAAGTCGTCTGAAAACCGCAGGGGTTTGTCCGAGGCTGTGAGAGGCCAGCATTGCGTCCTAGCTGGAGAGGTAACGGTTTTAACTAGCGGTGAGAGCTCTGCCCTAATCGTGGCGTTTCTGAGGGAGTCCTCAGTGGGGGAGAGGAAGAATCAGACTCTCGCTTTGTCGCCTTTGCCCGGCGGTGACGGCTAGCTCGACGGCTGTGGACTCAGCTGCTACCTTGAAGCATCTCTCGTCACGAACGTGGACGGCGTCTTTTGTGAACGCTCCTGCCATAAAATAAAATGATTTTGCTGGCACTTCGCCACCGCTGATCCTCCTCACGCTTTTTATTCTGTGGCTCTTCGCGCGCTTGTATTGCCTTGCTTGGGCTGCCAACTCGTCAGTCAGCCTTCTGCAGGTGTACCTTCAGCCGCACTCAGTAGGGTAGCCAAGCTCCTGGTGGTGGCTGGAGATTTCCCACTGTTACATCTCATCTCCAAGGGATAGAGATCAGTTCACCTGGAGAAAATGGGTGCTTTGGGAGGTGGACTCTATATTGTACCCCATTGAAGCCCCTCTCCTCCCTAAACCCCTTGCCGTCTTCAGGCTCCACTCGGAGCTGGCAACCCTAAATTGCAGCCGGATTGAACAGCCGAAACTGGGGTGGTGTGAAAAGTTTGACATTCTAGTTCCTGCATTTCAAGCCTATGTTACAAACAGCTGTGAGGGAGGGTTGAAAAGTTGGCATCTGTGGTCCTCCTTGCTAAGGTGTTGTGACCAACTCGTTGGAAGACATAGATGTGTTATAATCCATGCTTATTCGGAAGTAATTGGAGTTTATTTCCTAATAAATGTACTTAGGACCACAGCATTATATACTTCCTGTTTGTATTGCTTATTCTGGATGTCTGTCAATTAAAAATTAAACAAAGACACCCCTTATCATTTGCATTTTTGTTATTCAACTACTATGGCAAAAGGATCAACTTGAAATATGTCCCTTCTCTGACATGATAGATTATTAGCATATTAAGTTTTTAATCAGAATGAGTCTAAAATTGATGACATAATGAATAAGACAGCATTTTTCTGATCTTTGTGTTATGAGCATTTATTTACTTAGCTGTTACAACTAAATAGAAAATGCTAATAAACTGAAGCTGTTTAAAGTAGATGTTGACTTAGTAGTATGCACACTTTAGGGGGAGGAAGTAGGTTTTATTTTAAAATAAACGTATTTAGGATTGAGCAACAAGGTGGTGAACCCAAGTATACTTATATGGGGATAAATATGTTTACCTGGATGTTTGCATCAGTCCATAGTTGTCTTTATTATTGGGTCAAGTGAAAGAGGGAGGCTTTGTGCAGTTTTCCATGGTTTTTTCACCTAAGCTGCAGTTCCCTCATTGCACCTGTGCTGTTCCTGAGAGTTCCCTGAGCCCCCAAAGCCCAATTTTCACTTGGTTCAGGGACATTGAATACGGCATGGGGAGCTGGGAAAGATCTGTTCAGTTAATCAAGCTCTGCTTGTGTTTTTATGCGTTGGTGGTGAGAGGAGTGAGGGAAGAGCAGTTTGTTTGACAATTACATCCATGAGTAATGGCACCAGTGATAGTATTGGAAGATTAGCTCAAATGTAAGCCATGTTGGTCTAAAGCAGCAGAACAAAGTTTGAGTCCAGTGGCACCTTTAAGACCAAGAAAGTTTTATTTGAGGTATAAGCTTTTGTATGTATGCACACGTCTTGATATTTCGCTATTATCTGAAGACGTGTGCTTGCAAGTATGGTGTGCTGAATGTCCTTTCTGCTAGGGTGATGACTACATATATTTGGGCATGCACAGCGTACTGATGCAATCAAAGTTAGCAGCTTAGCAGGAAAGACTGATTTAGGTTGGGTTGCAAATCTTAATAAAATAGCTTTTGCTAAAAACTGGCTTTTGTTGGAAGCATGGGAGAAATAGCATGAACAGTATATAAATAAAAACATTGCAATAGCTATTGAACTCTTGAAAGAATGATAACTTCCACCTACTGTTATTTGCTGCTGTTGTTTTTTTACCTTATCAGAAATGAAAATCTTAGTAGCTAGTGTATCAGGAAAAAGTAACTGAAATGATGCATCTCTTTGGCCCATCTAAGTTTGAAAATGCTAGAAGACCGCCTTAAGATCTGTATATGGTTTACAATCAAGAAGTTAATGTTCAGATTTGAAAATTAATGACAGATTACATTCTAGTTCAGGATAGATTTGTATGCTCAGAGTTGAGCAATTCTCATGTAGGTCTGGACTCAGGCAGACTTGATTTGTTAACTTCCCCATTTATTGTGGAACGAGGGCTATGTGATTTAGGTGTCCATTCTTGTAGGCTTTTGTGTGGAGGAACTGGATCAAATGTTACTTTATACTGTGAGGAACAGTGTGCCTTGTCCTTTTAACATGAATGCCAGTGCTTAACTGGATGAGTGTCTAAACTGACCTTTAGATTTGTCAGTCCTAACAGATAGTGGTGAACTGTCCTTGTTACCCAAGATCTGTCAGCCCTGTATGCATGCAGCAAAAAATGTTCTAAAGGTATGATTCTGCAAAAAGATATTTCATTAGGATGGGTGCTTTTAATTTAAAAATACTCTTAAAATGTAGTGTATATTCATTGCCTTATAGTCCAAATTAAGCAGGCTGTTAAGACATACACATGAAATATAAACACACATCAGAATCTCTTGTATTAACTAGATTCCCCCCTAAAATGTTCCAGGGGAGGTTTGAAAGTCACCTACATTAGTTCTGTCTCTGAAGGTAAGCACATCTGTGTTTGGATGGGCAATGCCTCATAACCCCATATCTTTTGCCCTGAGAAAGCACTGGGTACAAATTCAAAATAATGAAACAGACAGCATGCAACCTGTTCTAGTTATTTAAACCCTTGCTACTGGTAATCTAAAATGTTTAGATGGAAGAGATTATATCACTGTGCTATTCTGTCTTTTTGGTCAGAAACCATGAGAACACTGAACTAAAATGCTAGCAAAATCTAGTGTTAAAGTGAGTGGTAACTCTGGCTTCTTTTCCTTAGTTTTATTTATTATCTGTCGAACATTTGGCCTGTAAATTTATTGAAGTGACAACTATTCCCTTCATTCTTATTGTAAATTGTGTAATTCTTTACTTTTTTCTTTCCCTTTCCCAATTGTCAGACACACGTCACATGTTTTGCAGTCAGTTGGAGAGGGATTGGACATGGTGATGAATTGCTTTAATGTAACCTTTGCTTTGTTTGATTTCTCAGCTGCCCAAAAGGATGTGATGTCAGAATGGAGGCTTTGCTAGAAAGAATGCAAAGGCAAGGACAAGGCAGGTATGTGTATACTGCTTCTTGTTTAATACATGGACTTCATGGTCCAGCTGCTTTTTTTCTGCTATATTCTCACTGTACAGAAGGCAAGTGAGGAGGGGGATGTGTCTCAGTGGTAGAACAACTGTTTGATACTGATACTAGCTGGATTACTTGGAATCAAGTCTTGCATTCAGTGGCACTTATTTTCCAAGTAAATGTGTTTAGAACTGTACATTTTACAGACCGGATAACTTCAATTTAAATAAGATTGAAAAACAAGGTTATTACTCTACAGACTTCTTGAGTTTATTTTGTCTGAGATGCGTATTTGATACGTTCTAGTATGATGACGAGAAGGGAATGGGTTATCAAGCATGTCCAGTGCATCCTAGAAAATATTTCAGAGCCTTGTGTATATGTTTACACTTTCTGTTCAAATGATCAGATTGCTGAGTTGGCAAGGAATACATTTTGTCAACTTGAGCTAATATGCCAGTTGTAGCTCTGAGGGTAGAATTATCTGCCCACAGCTTCATTTGGCTTAATATCAAGGTTTAGCTCCTGTAATACATTCTGTTTGGGGGTCCCTTTGAAAAGTGTCCAGAAAACAGAGTTGGTTCAAAATATGACTCCAAGGGGCCTGATGGGGGCATAAGAGCATACAAAGAGTCCTACTGGATTAGACCAGTGGTCCATCTGGGTTCACACAGAGGCCAGCCAGTTGCCTGGAGGGCCAACAAATGTCCATTGCAGGGAACATATAAAGTAAGTGCTGTGTCAGCTGCATTGCCAGTTTGTTTCTGGGTACAATTGAAGACCTTTAAAGCCCTAACCAGCCTATGAGCAAGGTACATGCCTCTGCCCTTCAGATCTACCTCTAGATCTCTTGTTGGGACTGTGTTTTATTTGCCCCTGATGATGGAAACAAGACTGGATAAGCAGGATAGGACTTTCTCAGACTCTGGAATCCTGTTCCTAAGATTAAACAACTTAAACGAGGCAATCACACCTGATAAAACACCTGGCCTCTTGTTGCTCAAGTACAACCTTGTCTTCCTCCCATTCTGCCGATGGGGAGGGGGCCTGAGCTGGTCTTGGGCCCCCCCCAACCCCTTGTAAGGGGGGGTCATAGCCTGGGGCGTGAGAGGTGCCTCTCCCAAGGCGGAAGCCAAAGGATCGAGGCACTTCTTTGTCCCATTAGGTCCCCGCAGCACAGAGCCAGCAATGGCATTTAGAGGCGCACACCAGCCAGAGCGTACAAGTGATCTGAAGCAAGAACCTCTCTATCTACCTAAACGCAACCAAGCCGTACCAAAGTCCCAAAATAAGCGGAAGGGGGAGGGGAAAGCCTGAGCCCAAAAAGACTGAGTAAAGCGAGGGGCAGAAAGGACGGCTTGGGGAAAAAAGCGTATTTTGATTGAAAATGGTGTTAACTAGTGAAAAAGCGATAGACTATCGGACCTTTTGAGACTATTTGAACTTTTCTCTTACTGTAAACAACGATCCAGCGTGCACAAAGAATGGCGGCGAAAACGAAACCTATGATGGGAACTGCCAGCTTTTCTTTTCCGGCGTTAACCTGGAAACAACCATAGACTTTCTTAAATTATTGTAGCAGACCTGTGCCACCTACTGGACCAGAAGACGAATTCCAGTGTGGAGACTGCAAAAGGAACTTAAAGAAACCCTAGCGAGAACAGACTCTGTTCACCAAGCGAAAAGATTCCTGATGCAGCAAGCACAAAGAGAATGGTCCTGAGAAAGCAGAAAATGACAAAAATGAAGAGGAAGAAAAAGAAAAGGAAAGTCTTGACATCAACCTGAACATCATGGCAGAATCCTTTGATTTTGATCAAAAATAATTTGGTCTCCCATAAAAACTTAGGAGGAAAAAAATAAGCAAAATAGATTGACTTTGTTAGTCTCATCGATATCTTTATTCTATATGTTAAAGCGAATGCTACACCATAATCACCAGAGATTGTTTGCTGTCTAACTAGATTTTGTTGTTGTTGTTAATAATTCTCACATTTTACTATTTGCAGAATTAGAGATGTTTAAACTAGCTTAAAGTACTGTAACCAAGATCCTTGTTACTCTGTATTTTAGGTTGTTCCCTTTCCCTGACCCTGTAGAGTTGTAGTTTTAGATAAGCAATACAAAATTTTAAAAAAGAAAGAAGGTGAGAAGATGTTTCTACTTTGAAAGGCATTTGGAGGAAAGTTAGTTCTTGTTGAATTAGACTCTTCTCTGATGCTGCTATTCCTTTGTTTTATTGTTTAATTGATCTGTGATGCTGCTGGGGTTTTAAAATTCTTTGTTTGCTTCTTCTGGGCACCATTTATTTAGTGCAGGGGTTCCCAATATGGTGCCCATGGGCCTCACAGTGCCCGCCAACACTTTTTCTGATGCCCACCAAGTGTTTTTAGGAAGTGTGTGGGGCCAGGTAGAGCTTTTGCCCAGCAAGGCTTCTGATTGACTATTGGAGATTGGATTGATTGTGCAGATTTTTTTTTAAATGTTGCTTTTGCAGCAGCTGCCACCACAGCACAAGGATCTACAATGTGTTACTGATGTTAAGCTGTGGCAATCATTTTATGTCTGGCTCTGCCTCCTGTAGCAGCCATTTTGTTGCTGCATGCACCAGAATTTCAAATGTGCCATAGGCTCAAAAAGGTTGGGGACCTTGGATTTCGTGTAATGGTAGGGGTACACATGCTCTAAAGAAATAGATGAATTTTTCTTTGACGAATTTGTCAATCTCAATTTGCATTACTTTTATTTATTTTATTTATTATTTGCATTTATATCCTGCCTATCCTGCGAGCAGGCTCATGGCAGGTAACATCTTTATAATAAATACAATTTCAATTTAAAACACAGTAAAACATTCTAACAATTTAAATAATGGGTACAGCTTGAAACAGCATCAGTTGGTTATAAAGTTTTGGTCCGATGGTGCGGTGAGTTAAAGGCCAGTTGCCGGTGGTCAGTAAATAAATGGGTGACAGCAACCTCAGGGAGGCCATAAATGGGCGCCCGCTGCCTCAACCAAAGGCCTGGCGGAACAGCTCTGTCTTGCAGGCCCTGCAGAATTGAAGAAGATCTCATAGTGCCCTGGTCTCAATAGGGAGCATATTCCACCAGGCTGGGGCCAGGACAGAAAAGGCCCTGGCCCTGATTGAGGGAAGACGGGCGTCCTTCGGGCCAGGGACCACCAGGAGGTGTTGATCTTTCGAGCATAACACTCTACAAGGCATATATGGGAAGAGGCGGTCCCTCGTGTTGTGTTGTGACCCATTCTTTTCTCATTATATGTTGGTTGTGTCTTCTGGAATACTTAGAAACTAAGCAAGTCTAACAATGATTTTCAGAAGAACAGAACACTGCTTAGCTTCACCCAGTCACTGACAGTGCATGTTATGTCATTGTCCACTGCCAGAGAGACAGTGGTGTAGTGGTTAAGAGTGGTGGACTCTAATCTGGAGAACTGGGTTTGATTCCCTTACTCCTCCACGTGCAGCCGGCTGGGTGACCTTGGGTCAGTCACAGTTCTCTCAGAGCAGTTCTCTCAAGAGCAGTTCTCTCAGAGCTCTCTCAGCCTCATCTCCCTTACAGGGTGTCTGTTGTGGGGAGAGGAAGGGAAGGAGATTGTAAACCATTCTGAGTGAAGGGCAAGGTATAAATCCTGCTCTTCTTCTTCCTCCTCCTCCTCCTTTCCCCTTCCCCTTCTTCCCCTCCTCACCACAAACTTTTGGTCCTTAAAAACCCAAATCTTAGAATCAGATTAAATTATTTGAAGTAGAGATGTGCAAATGACCACAATCTATGCCACTAAAATTTGATTGTATTATTTTAGTGCATAATAATTTAAACAGAAAATCAGTGAGGTAGGTTTTCCAGAAAAATTAGAATTGGGAAATTTTCCAGTTGATCAGTTCCCTAAATAGAGCATTATCTGATTTAGCATATTTGTTTTGACATATATTTAGTAACAAATCCCCAGAGTACCCCATGTTAATTGTATGTTCCAGTAGCAACAAATACTTGAACAAAAATGTTTTATCAGGAAAAATATTAATCTAATTTGGTTTAAATGTGGAATTCAAATACATTCAGATCATTTTTTCTTAGAATATAGTTGTAAAAGTTAAACAAATATAGTGTGTAAGGGTAGGTGTATACATATGCACACATAAACACACAATGCAGTATGTTGTTTAAATGTAAGAAAAAGCCTAAGGCAATAAAAGCTGTTGACATGCTACTTTTAACACAGCCACAGAATTATGTATGATATGCCGTAGATGTGGCCTACTCATCTATTGTAACACGATTAACTGTCTTCCACAGAGGTCATTGGGAAACCTCATTTCTTGCATTACTTCATAATACCATGTCATATGAGAGTAGACATAGAAATAATAATTTTAGCTTTGGTTTTGGTTTGACCTGTACAGTCAGTCAGATGAATTCGGAACTTGATTTTTTATTTGACTGTGTATTTATGGTTTATTTCCCTCCCATCCCCTTTTATTTCTTAAATCTCTGGAAAGTTTTTCATTCTACCTCTCTGGTGAAAGTCATCAGCATCCAGTGAAAAGTCTTTACTCTTAGTGGGGATAAGTGAAGTTGGTCTTCCAGTACGATCTGCAACATAAAAAATCCCACTCACTGTTAACCAGCTTGTTGAATCTGAGATAATCTACAGCTTTGCATTATGTGTCTACAGTGTATGAAAATGATGGTCAAGTTCTCAGTATTGGTGATCTCCGAACTTGAATATGCATAGTCATACTTAAGGGAAGGGTGAACTGCTTAGTGGAGCATTCTTTCTGCACCTGAGACACTTCATCTGCCCTGTTAGTTTTCCCAAGCTGATCCAGTTCAAGGCTATTTCATAGCATGGCTGAGATATGCCTCTGCATATACTTAGGAGAGTTGCTGTCAATCAGGGTTGGCAAAACTTGGCTAAACAGGTTTGATTAGATATAAGAATGTAAGAAGCTAACTACTTGTATCTTAAAGAAAAAAATGCTCTTTCTGAGTGTAGTTGTAGCTTTATTTCAGGTCATCTGGCACAGTAGAGTGAACTTTCACACTGTGAGGTTGGGTTCTTTAAGAAGTATTTTTCCCCCAATAGAAAAGCTGTCAAGTTGCAAAACTGTGGAGTCTCTGAGGAAAATGAGGAAATTTCAATCTTTTAACCTATTGATTTCCATTTCTTTTCAGTCTCTTGTATTTGACAGGCAAATTAAAAGGGTAAAAATCAGTGAGAACTTCTCTCCTGGGCTCCATCGTGAAATTCTTAGTATTGTTTCTGGTCTAGCAACTTACAGAATCCCAAAGAAGTTAGCTGAGCAAGTTCAACTGATTACTGTACAGGAATGAAATCCCAGAATCTCTAGGGAGCTGATCCTTGCTAGTAGATTGCAAATGTCTTTTGTCTCATTACTGTGTTGTCAACCCTACTGCTATACTTAAGGACTTGTCAGCGTCTGTAGCATAAATCCCTATTTGTAGTGCTGATAACTGGGCTTTACATTGTCTCTGGTGTATGGAACTGGACATAAAAACTCTTTGCTAGAGAGCAAAACTTAAATTTGAGCATAACCTGCTCTGTTGGGTGTGAAAGCTCCCAAATAATATTTATAGTTGTGTTCATGGTAGATGCTGATTAAGCTAATAGCATGTTCATTTCTTTAAGCAAGATTCCCTGCCCATGATGGGTGTCATGTCCCTGGGGCCAGGGGCCACTTTTCTACCCAGACACTTCATTATTCTCCAGCATGTCCAATGAAAGGCAGACACCCGGGGGGTGGGGGGGGGGGTTATGGTTCTGGCTTGCTTGCAATAACAGAGTCCTGGATTCAAAAGCCAGATTACAGCCTCGAGTTCACCTATCCCTTACAACTTCCATCAAGATTCTGATTCTGTTCCCAGGCCTCAATAACTGCCAGGAGTTTTTAAATTGTCGCCTCTAACTACCTCACCCTTATAGAGATGTGAAGCCCCCCCCCCCCCAGGAAAAAATAGGAGTAAAGTCCCTCCCCTGTTTTCCCCCAAGGACTTATTTTCAATTTTTCTGATTGGAAAATAGGAAATTTTTGGGAGTACTGAAAAAAACTCCAATGAAATAATCTTCCCAAAATTTCCATTTCTTTTTTTTCCTGGGAAGCGGGGGGGGGGGGGGTTTTCCCCCCATGGCTTCAACATTTCGGGACATTTTACATCTCTGCACCCATACTGCAGGGTTAGGCTTTGAGGTAAGTAGGTCCCAAGAGTGCAGTCTACCAGAAATGCCACTTTCCTGGTCCAGGGGAGGGTGCTTGGTCCTTTCTGAACTCAAAGTCTCAGGCTTTGCCAGCTGTCAGGCTTCCTGTCCTTCTTTGCTGCCTGTCTGTTCTCTCTCTTCTTCTTACTCTGGCCTTTTATTCCCCTTTCTTCTGCCATGCCTGATTCCTGGCTGCCTTGGCCTACACTTGTGTAGGTTTATACTCCTAAGGAGGTCTAGGCAGCTGTTACATCCAAGGAGGCTAATACTGGCAGTCTTTGGCCATGATGACCCTTTAAGTGCCCTAGTGGTCCAGTTGTCTTTTCCTTCCTCCTGGTAGCTCAAGTGCAGCCTCTCTTAGGGCTGTTACCTGAGTTTCCCTACCACATACCCTGATCCAGTATACTGTGGGGTGTGACAGTGGGATATTCAAAAGCACACGTCTTAGGCTTTTGAGTCAGCAGAAAACCTTTTGTCCACTGTGACAGTGTCTGATTTAGGCCATTATTGCGTATGGAATTATAATGACTTGGGGTGTTCATTTAGATGTAAAATCTTGTATATGCATTAGTGATCCAGGGCTGTTCTTACACGTTATTGGATACTGTGTGATTATTAGACTATAGCAATCATTTGTAACTGGATTGCTTTTTCTACCCAGGACAATCTAGTCATAAATGATTACTGCAGTGCAAAAATAATACAGTATCTAATGATGTGTGGGCGCAGTTCTGGATGTGAAAAAATTATGATGGGCCATTGAGGACTTGCTAGTAGGACTGTGCACTCTGCCCTGACACTCCTCATCCTGAAAACATTGCACTTCTATTTTGTGGTTGTGGAGGGGGGAGAGAATAAACACTGTTTTATTTTAAGGTTTAGTACATTTTTTACTTCCCCAGAGCAAGGGCCTTATAAAGGAACCCTGAAAGTCTCATAAGCCTTTCTTGCTTTTGACAAGTGAACACTCTCTCCTGTACATCTTTGTTTTAATGTAATTACATTATTTAGAATCTTCAGCAAGTTTTCTTTAACTATGGAGAGGCTTGTATCATGACACAATATATTATGCAGCACACTGGAATTTTACTTCCATCTGATTGTGTTTAGGATTGCTGCCTTAATGCCCAGGTGTTTATCATCATATCTTCTAATCAAAGTCTGTCAAACTCTAATTGGATGAAGCCTTCTAGCTCATTATATATGCCTGTGACCCTGGCTTCTGATCAAGTTCCCTCTGTTCTGATCTTGTGTGTTGTGGGCAATCCACTATACACCGAAATTATGCCACACTGCCCATTACATACTGTCTTTGAATGCCCTTATAGCTTTTACTGAAAATGTATCTCTTGCCATTGAAATCCTGCAAATTACAGGCAATTGGAATTATTGCCCCTGCTGGGAATAATCATGGCATGTATGACAGGCAAAGAAAGCTTTCCGTACCTGCTGTCTCTATTCTAGTATTTGCTGTTTGGTCATAACAAGCTATTTTCTTGTTGGCAGTGGCTTCCTGACTTCATGTGAGGCTGAACTACAGGAGCTGATGAAGCAGATAGACATTATGGTGGCTCATAAGAGAGCTGAATGGGAAAGGAAAACACAAGCACTTGAGTCTTGCCTGGACATCCGAGAGCAGGAGCTATCCTCTCTTCGGAATCTGTTGGATGTGAAGCACAAAGAGGTATTTTCTGTGGCTGTACTTTTCTTCACTTGCTTCAACTATATCTTCCTTTTTCTCTAAAATGCCACTATAGTAATTACCCATGTGTAAAGTTGTGTCCTAAACTGCTGTATCAGAACATTACAAGAGCTGAATCAAAGTTCCTATATAAGTATGTTGTAAAATAAGTCCAACATGTCCACTGTAAATTACTTGTAAATAATATAGTTAAAAAGGAATGCAGCCTCTCCAGGATCTGCTCGAGAGTCTGAACCCTTTAGGGCCTGAAAGGTAAGAATCAGTACTTCCGGTTGTGCCAGGAAACAACTGGGCAGCTATTGTTGATCTATCAACTGAGGGGTGGTACGGCACGTGTATTTGGCCCTGACAATAACATGACTGCCACGTTCTGGACTAGTTGAAACTTCCAAACAGTCTTCAAAGGCAGCCCTATGTAGAGTATGTTACAGTAGATTAACGTGGTTGTGATTAGAGCATGGATCACCATGAAAAGATCACATTTTTTAAGGAATGGCTATAATTGATGTAGAAGCTGATGAAAGTTGTTATGTGCCACAAAGGAGATCTGAGCCTCTAACTGTGGGGAGGATCCAGCAGTATCCTAAACTATGACCCTATTACTTCAGGGAAGTGCAGCCTCCTCCGAGTCAAGCTGACTTCTTAGTGTGCAGGTGCTTTTTCTTTACTAGAAGAAGAGATGGGTACATTCCAGTCCACCTCCCCTCCCTGGCCAGGGCTATTCCCCATGGACTTCCAAACTGTAAAATAGGTAGCTGTGGCTTTGTAGTGGTATTTTATATATATGATATTTTATATAAATTCCCCATAGTTGGACTAATTACCTTTTTTATCTAGCAAAGAAGTTTTACACCGGTGACATTAGCTAATCTATGGGAATTAATTTTGTTGCCTTTCCCCTTTTGACTAAGCTACCTGCTGTTTTTTTAAAATGTAAGAAAAGCCTCAAAGCACATTCTGCAACTGTGGAACTGTATCCCTTTCAACTAATCAACTTGATGAGTCTTTCAGCATTTCTTTTTCTTTATTTCACTTAAGGCAAAGGATCATTGTGGCAAAATCCTACCACATTTTAATTTCACTCTTCCAAGAAGCTCAGGGCAACATACATTCCACTTTATCCTCACAACAACCATATGAGGTAGGTTAGGCTGAGAATGTGGGATTGGTCCAAGATCACTTGGCAAACTTCATGGCACAATGAGGATTTGAAGCTGAGTTTTCTCCAGGCTTAAAATGTGGGTTAATGTTTAGGGGAAATAATGTGGGGATGTTCCTGTCTTATATAGGAAGACATGAGGACTGTTGCATCTTCAGTATCTGTGCTTCTCTGAATTTTTCATTACCTAGTAATAGTTTTCCAGAATTCTTTTTTCCACCTTTGTGCTAATATGATCTGATCCCCTCTTTTAGATTGAGAGATTGTGCCAAAAACTGGAAGAAAGGGAACAGCTCAGTCAGGATATGACTATGGAATATGAACAACAGTTAAAGAAAGTTCAGGAAGAGGTGAGCCTCCAAAAATAAAACTTTATTTTGTGATATTGAGTTGTTCATGTGCTGTCATGTGAATATTTAATATCTCTGCATCTATAACATGTCTTTTTAAAGACACCCCACAATAATGGCAGTACTAAAACAATAACCTGGTGGAGACAAAATAATGCACATTTCAGCATTCATGAGTTTCCCCTAAGAACATTTTAACTTTTCCCCAAGATATTAGCTTCATTTTAATGTTAAATAAATCCATTTGCACATTTAAGTCTAGCTATTTTTGTATTTATAGCTTACAGCTAACATTTCCACTAGCATCTAATGGAGTAGCTCAGGGTCTAAGAAAGAAAAAAAGTAATTAGGTGCAACTGAATTTTCATGATATTTTCTATAAAGATTAACACAGCTGCATTTGAATTGTTGTTAGATGTTTACAAATATTTTGAGGCCATTGTATGAGAGCAGGTTCAGGGAAATGCAGAATACCATTCCTTTGCCACCTAAGCATTTCTGAGGCTGAAGCCATCTTGGTGAGGGGAATGGGGGTATGTTTTTGCTAAAAAGCTGGTGTGATGGGGTTACAGCATTAACCATTTATTGTCCATCAGAAAACCCTGAGTGACAGAGGATTCAAATGGAATTCTTCAGTTGAGAGTGTCAGTTGGGAGTTGACAGTTAACAGTGAGAGAGCAAAGCAGGCTGTGAGAGGATCAAGAAGGATCCTGAGAAGGAAGTGGGATGTGTAGCCCATCTCTATCGAGGGAAATAGCTACAGATCTCTAGCCCATGGATAAGAAAGGAAACTGGAACTTGTGTGAATGTTTCTGCCTTCACCCACTTTAGTTCTGGGAGACGAAGAAGCTTGTTCTTGTTCGTGTAAGCAAAGACTGCCAAGAAATCTTTCTCAAATTTTAAAGACCTGTCTGAATAACAGAAACAGTTACTTGTTTATGACGAATAATCTGGGTTTTTTTTAAATACAAAGCTACTTCATTCCTGTTACCTGTTCATCTCATAGGTCCTAAACCTGATTCCTATCTGACCATTTCCCCTCACAGTGAAATAAAAGTTCGTTAGTTTTGATTTGCCACCAGCCTCTTATGTGTCATTATAAAATAAGGACAAAGGAACAAAACGGGCTGCTTAGCTAAGAACAATATAAAAGGAAATCCTGTGAGGGAGGGCGAAATCATCATAGCTGGATTGAAGTATTTAATAAAGAATGGTTCTTAAACAACATTCTGCTAAACTTGAAGCTGTGTATCAAACTTGTGTAACTTGATGTGTGCAATGGGAAAGTTACGGTAAAACCAAGATTAGAGCCTATGGGCAGTCTTCAGCTCTATAAGGATGAATAGCATTAGGTATTTCTGATCCAGGTAGTCAAAAGGGAATAGTTCATTCCATATAGGTTGTGTATTTGTTTCGCTGAAGAGTATGTACGTACCTTGATTTTTTCCTTCTTTTACTGTATTAATGAAACAGAAAGGACTTCACTGCGTAGAACAGTTGGTTGGTTCAGCTCAGACTTGCAATGTCAAATATCCAATTTAGCTGTAAAAGATACATTGACATTGTTCTTGTATTAGGAATTAATGAAAAAGAAATGTTATCCAAACACTTCAATAATTTTCTTATGGCCAAACTACATATGGAACAGGAGATCTGTAATTAGATCTCCCAATATTTCTTCAACTTAAAAACAGCCATGGGGAGCTCTGAATTGAATACAGGAAGCAATACTATATGAAGGACCTGTTAACCCTTTCCAAATTCAACCCCCACAGATGTAATAATGTAGCAGTCTTCTTAAAACAAAAGAAGTTGAACCTGTGTATGCTTACTTAGAAGTAAGTCATACTATGTCTGATGGAGCTTACATTTAAGAAAATGTGCATAGGATTACAGCCTAAATCTGTTTGTAAAAACTTGTCAAGAAAAGAATTTAAAAAACTTGCTAGTCTAGTGTTTACTATAAGAATTTGGGTGCTGAGATTTCCTGCAGTTGGTGTGACAGCATTTCATGTTCAACCTTCACTTTTTGTCTTTTTCTGTCCTCACTTGTCAACTGCTTGGAGTTAAATGCCATAAGATAATGGTATGCATTAACCTTTTCTCTCTGGAGAATTGGTTCAAGTCCTGCTTACCCTAGGCCATAAATAAAATTAATTTTGTGGTCTTGCCTTTGCAAGCAGAACACATCTGTCCACATTTTTAAAAGTCTATTCATTCCAACATAAGTAATTGCTCTTGTTTTTGGAGGAGCCCCTATGGGGGTAGTAAGGATGCTGTCAAACACTGCTGAGGTGCTGTGGCAGATATTTGCAAAAATTGAAGGATGGAATGGCATCATTATGGAGCTGAAGAATGTTAGCAATTGAAAAATATTGTAGCAGAGTGAGCTACTTATAGTGCAGTTCTAAGCAGACTTACACCCTTAAGCCTGTAGACTTCAATAGATGTAGAATAACTCTGCTTAAGGTTGCACTGCTTGGATTTTCCTGCTCTAGTATGATTCTGTTTAAGAGTATGACAGTGTTTGAAATAACTACTTTAGAGTAGTAACACTGGTATTTATAACAAAATCTGATCGCAGGTAAAATGTATATATCATGGTTTTGCCTTCCTCTCTTGCATCCCCCTTAAAGTCCAGAGAGAATGTGACCCTTGATGGATGTTGGATCCGAGTCCACCAACCTCACAATAAAAAACTGCAAATTGTATGCTAGAGATTATTAAGAAAGGAATTGAAAATGGAAAGACCACAGCTGTAGTTCTTTTATATAAGTCTGTGGTAGAGGTGCAGTTGGAAGTCTGTGTATTGTTCTTGCCATCCTGTTTCAGAAAGGACCTAGAGGATGAGAAAAGGTGCACAAAAGGGTGCCTGAACTGCCTAAAACCCTTGGGAACTTTTTAGTTAAGGAAAAAATATAGTAACATAACAGAGCCCTATAAAAGTATGCATGGTCAGGTCACCCAAATAAATTGATTGGTGGCAGATTCAAGTGAGAGAGTAGAAGCGTCACTTTGCAAAATATATAGTTAATGTTTGAAATCTGCTGCCAGAGTATATAGCGAAGGGCGCAAAAGGGAAGTTGACAAATACAGCCTCTTAAGGGCAATTAGCCAGTATAGTGAAATAGAACTTCCATGTTCTGAACCAATATTTTTGTATGCATGATTGTTATGCAAATAATTTCTACAGTAATAGTTACAAATCCTATAAGATCATTTGTGAAATGACAGCTCCTAAGTAAAGCTAAAAAGGCTATATGGAAAGAAATGTTTCTACTGTTACTGCGTAGAGGTTTTGTCCACAACTTTAGTCAACTAATTTTATGTAGCTGGTCAATTAAATTTGCATCACTTAAGGTGTGTGAACAATTTTATGCGCAATTAACTTGCAAGATTTTTTGATATATTTAGATTATTTAAAATATTTCTGTCCTGCCTTCTCCTCAGATTCAGTACTGGATTTTGGTTTTCAGTAAACTAATATCATTCTATTTCAGAACTGCATCATAGTGTCCAAAATTGACTGTTTTTCTTTCAGCTCATCAGACTGAAAAGAAGTTATGAGAAACTGCAGAAGAAACAGCTGAAAGAAGCTAGACAAGCTTCCAAAAGTCATGGGGAGGACTTTGAGAAGTCTGAAGTAGGCATCCTGACCAGGAAATTAGAGGTGGGAAGATAAAATGCAACTGTGAGCACAATAATATAAACTTAACTAACTACTTGGCAGTACTGAGAAATCTGTGCATTTAGGAACCTAAAACATTTTACCAGTACTAATAATAGGCTAGTTTCAAAAGTTTCACTTACAGTTTACTAAAGCAGCTGCAAGATGACAAGTCCCCACTTCTAAAAAATTTTTAAGTGCTTCCTGAACAAAGGTGTGGAGCAACCCATTCCTGAGGGCCAAGATGGCAGCACATCACCAACAATAGCTAGTTGGTATCCTATGCTCTCTTGGAAGAGAAAATAAATGGCAAAAAGACCCATCCTTAAGCAACTGCTTTGGACTCCACAGGGATACCGTCAATACTGAGCAACCATAGAGCATCCTGCTGAGAATGTCCCCATGTGAGCAACGTATGAAAGGAACCAACCAATAAATGGCAGTGCTGGTATGCCTCCATGATGTCATCCTGACCCCCCATCCACAGAACAAGTGAAGGCAAAAAAGCTTCACAGCACACTCCACTGAGTGGAGGACTGTGGTATGCGAATTAGGAATCCTTTACCAGCCATACTCCTGGGAGCTCCACTGTGGAGTGTGGTGAAATAATACATTGAAAAGCAGGATTTTGCAAGGCAGCTGGGACACAGACAGTAGTAGAAGTGAAAAAGAACACGCAACTCCACTTGCACAGGGTCAGCATGACTGAGGGAGGTCCCTGGTTCAAACCCAGCTTGGAACTAGCTACAGTACAGCCATGGAAGGAGTCCTAGGTCCAGCTGAGACTTTCTACCATCAGATTCAGTCATTAGAGTTGGATCATTTATACTGATTAGCAACCTCACTCAAGTAATTTTGATTAGCATGCTCCTATCTAGTCATTGCTCTGCTGGATTCATGTCATTAATTACCATTGCCTACTGCTGTTCATCTTAGCAGCTTCTGTTCTCCATCTCCTCTCCTATCATATAGCCTGAATTTTTTTCACACACCAGCACTGATCAGGGAGATGGTAAACATAGAAGAATTTGCCCTCCCCCTTGTTACAGCACAACTGTATAGATATTGGAGGGCCTCCACATCTCTCTTTCTAGTGTGAGTCCCATGCTGAAGAACCCAGTCTATCAAACTGAATTAGAAAGAGAGCTGTGAAATAATCTAAACATGTATTGAATAGCACAGCAATAGAGTTCTGACTTCACGTTCCTGGGATCCAAGATCACTGCAGACGGTGACTGCAGCCATGAAATTAAAAGACACCTGCTCCTTGGGAGGAAAGCTATGGCAAACCTAGACAGCATAATAGAAAGTAGAGACATCACCCTGCCAACAAAAGTCCATATGGTCAAAGCAATGGTATTCCCAGTAGTAATGTATGGCTATGAGAGTTGGACCATAAGGAAGGCCGAGCGCCGAAGAATAGATGCTTTTGAATTATGGTGCTGGAGAAGACTCTTGAGAGTCCCTTGGACTGCAAGGAGATCAAATCAGTCAATCCTAAAAGAAATCAAACCTGACTGTTCCCTGGAAGGCCAGATGCTGAAGCTCAAATACTTTGGCCACCAAATGAGAAGGGAGCACTCACTGGAGAAGACCCTGATGCTGGGAAAGATTGAAGGTCAAAGAAGAATGGGACGGCAAAGGATGAGATGGCTAGCCAGTGTTATCGATGCCACAGACATGAAGTTAAGCAAACTCTGGAGCATAGGAGGGCCTGGCGTGATGTGGTCCATGGGGTTGCGAAGAGTCAGACTCGACTGTGCGACTGAACAACAACAGAGTTCTGAAAACCAGTCAAATGAATGGGGTTGCTAGTGTTTTTGGTCTGCTGAGACATCTGTGCCTTTGATAGCTGCATGGACAGACTGCAGCATTACAGATCTGTTATATTGCTGCATGTGCATGAGAGAGGCAACTTGCCAAACATCTCCCTGTTAAAAGCATCTGGTAAAGGAGCAGGAGCCAGGCTCAAACAATAGAGTGGCAACCCTTTGGCAGAACTGCTAGATTTACACTGGTCACTACAGCTGTTGGCCATGTTTGTAGACTTAGCAAATTGTTGTGCATGCGGTCCATCCTAGTTCTTCCTCTGTTGGAGAGCTGCTTATAAAGAATCAAAAGAAATACAAGGCCAATGATGAGTATTAAGCAATTTCAGCGGTAGCAGCAAACAGTGCAAGGGGGGGCTCATAAGAAATTTGCAGAGAGGGGGCATTCCCCCACCTTTGCTTCCTTCCCACTCCCCCCTCTCCCCCTTTCTTTTTCTCCCCAAGCTAATCCCTCCTTTTTCTTTCCAACCCTCCACCAAATTGATCCCTCTTTCTTTGTCTTTCTCTCTCTCCCCGCAAGCCAACCCCCTTCTTTCCCCCCGAAGCAAATATCTCCATTTTTCTCTCTCTCCCCCAAGCCAGTCCTCCCCTTCTTTCTCCCCTCCTTCTTTTCCCCTAACTTTGAGCCTGGCAGCAGTGGGAGTGCCTGGGAGGCCAAGCCAGTGCAGGCTCAGCCACAAAGCTACCCGCCGCTTTCCATCCCTCTTCACTCCCAGCTTCCCAAGAGCAGAAAAGCCTGCGAAGGCCTCATCGCTAGGAAAGCCGTTGCTAAGGGCAGTCACGTGCTCAAAACAGTCGCTTTCCAAGGAGAGAGAGGGAGGGGGAGAGAGGGCCCCTTGTCCTCGGTAAGTCCGTTCTCTGTGCATAAGCAGAAAAAGCTGTTGTACTTTTGGGAGAATTCAAGTATCCCCCATATAGTTTTTTTGACATTTCAGATTTTTCTGCACATCTGGGGTGTGCCCCAAGTGTGCAGGAAAATCTGTTTATCCTCCATGTGCTCCCGATGTGCGAATTTAGGTATCTGCACAGAGGGGGCATGTTGGCTACTAGATATCTAGATATGATCAGTGTGAGTCATGGATTTGAGACAGTGGTGTCACCTATACTGTACCTCCATATCTTCCACCTTGGTAAGTGTGAAAGACACCAGTTTGGGAGACAGTATAGTTGTTGGAGCAATATTTATCCATCCCTTTTCAAGGAAGAAATGGTTGTTGAAATAATATGTAGGAGGCAATGTTCCCTCTAAGCTGTGGATTCTTGTGAGCAAAAATTCTCCTTTGTGAGCTCCTGGCATTAAAATTGTGAGCAAGCGGTTTGGCTCCTGTATAGATTAGTTTGCTCTGGAGCCCTCCTTCCTGAGCGAAGACAAAAATGTGTGAGCCAGAGGCTAAAAAACTGTGAGCTAGCTCACACTAACTCAGCTTAGAGGGAACACTGGTAGGAGGTCAAAGTTGAGGTGGGGGAATGTGTGGAGACAGAGCTGTCAATGTTCAGAGCAGGGGATCCCCTTCCTTGCTTACCTCCATGGGGTACATTGTCCTTGCGTCCCCGGTTGGAAGAGTGTAGGATCCTGATTTATATTTGTTTCTCCCTCTGAGGCGGAGGACATCTTGGGTGATTCCCACCATCCTATCAGGGAGAGGCAGAAACAAATTCTTTCTTCCTCTTCCTGTGTGGACTGGGGACGCCCCTTTTACCTCAGTTCTTTTCCTTCCTCTACACGGAGAGGTCGTTGTAGGCTTTGCCTCCAACTTCTAGTGTTACTAGCATACTCTTTTTTCCATATTTTATTATTTTCACCTTTCTTTGTGGATCTATAACTCTCCCTCTTCCATTTCTTTTCTCCTTCATATCTTTTTGTGTCCTGTAGAGGGAGTCTATAGGCAGCAACTTAACAGCATGCTGCAAGATCTCCCCCTGTTTCTTTCCCTTGTTCTATTCTTCGCTGACCACGCAGACGCCTGGAAGAGTGGGAGACGGCCACCTCTCTGAGGCGGAGAACGATCCCAGTGCTGTGGAGCTGGCCAAGGATTTTCCCGGAGCCGGCACGACCTATAGGCTTCCGCGGCTACCGGTGACGACCCCAAATTGAGCAGGGAGAAGACGGCATGGAAACGATCAAGTCAAGAAGGTCTCGCCTCCGATGTGGAGACCGGCGGTGGCCATGTTTGCACGATCGGTTTGGCGGGAAGCACTTTCACGCTCACTCTAGGCGCGCCCTTACCCATCCAGCTCCTGGATGCCAACCTCTAAGCAGGAGGCGCAGGCACTTCCTTGACCCAGAGCACTGTGGCCGTGGATGACCCTAGAAGACTCCAGATGGGTAACATACTCCGCTCTGCCGGGGATCCTAATCCTCAGGGCTTATTTGCCTCTATTAGGCGTTCTATGAGGGAGGAATTTCTCAGCCTGTGCCACCTTGGGGACCTGGGGACCCTCACCTCCCATGCAAATTCCCCTGCTCCAACACCTGTCCCGTGTTCCAATAATAGGGAAATGAGACCACATTGGCCTCCAAGGCTGCTAGGAAGCAGGTCCCTATGGACAGAAACTCTGATTTGAAAAGGTTACAGTCCCCTGATCCCGACGTGTCTCCTAGAGAGAGGGGAGGGGTTCCTCTCCGATGAGGAAGTTGAAGACATCAGTGTCCCACAGCCATCCTCACGTCTCTTTAAGACAGAGGATTTCCAATACTTCCTTTCCAAATGTCTTTCAGCTCTAGATCTCCATGACACTCCTCCTGAAGAGGAACTGGTTTGCCCTGGCATTAGTCCTAGAAAAGAGATCCAAGGGTGCAGAGGAGTTGTTTCCTCGCTATTGTACATCTGAAAAAGTTTTCCCATTCCCTGAATTTTTTGAAAGACAATTGAAGGCTGAATGGGCTAAGCCTAATAGACAGTCCCCTGGGTTGGTTAAGAAGTTATATGACTTATCCTCTTTTGCAAATGAGATGTTACAGGTTCCCCAGGTGGATGCCCCTATAACGGCACTCCAGTCCTTTGGTCTCCTTTCAGAGGATGGTTACGGCTCGGTGCGCAACAACCTAGATAAGAAGATAGATATTGCTCTTAAAAGTTCACATGAGGCCTTAGCTATGTCAATCAAGGCTGCGGCTATATCTTCTATCACCACCAGAGCTATCATTGTATGGTCCAGAAAGCTCATCCAGCT